ATGGGAGAAATATGGCGTGCGCCTCAGAAGACCCGTCCACGTATCCAGCGGCACCGGCTGCCTTCTGCTCTTGAGAATCGTGTCGTTCGAAAAGTATCGTGTCGTGGCTGTTATCGCCCACGATTGCTTGCGACGTTGCTGCTCCAGCTCGTCGTGTTCGGCCTTCTCTTTCCTCAGCATATCGAGTTCGTCGTTCTTTTTCTTCGTCAGCCTTCGCAGCTCCTCGTCCTTCTTCGTCTCCAGCTCTCGTAGCTCCGCCTCGTGCTTTTCGCTCGCCCCCTCCATCTCCTCCTTCAGCTTCTGAAGCTCCTCGTCCTGTTCCTCCATCTCCTCCCTCAGTTTCTCCATGTCCTCCTCCTTCTTTTTCACCGTTCTCTTCAACTCCTCGTACTTCTCCTTGCTCACCCCTCCTGTCGTCGCCGTCTTCTCCCTACTCGGCATGGTGTATTTCAACAGGCAGCGTGGCCACGTGGTGAGGCCCGCCATGCTGACCCCGTGAAAGGGCCAGTTGAAACGATCGTTCAGTCGGAGATAGTGAATTCCAAAGTCTTTGTGTTCCCCCAGTTCGGTGACATCCTGGAAACAGTGCCCTTGTGGGCTCACCATCAGTCGCAGCCGAGCGAGGTGCTGGGCCAGCTTGGTCTGGGCCTCCCTTCCCTTGATCTCTGCCTGGCCGTCGAAGAACATCAGCCCGCCGTAGGATAATGACTCATTCGTTCCTTCATCACTGTCATCGTGATCACGGGGAATGATGTTGCCAACTTCTTTCCAGTGAGCCTTTCGGATGTAAGAAGGGTAAATGGTAGGGTTGGTCAACTCGTAGACTTTGAGGGTAGTTTTGTCAGAGGAAGCAACGAAGTGCTTGTCTGACTTGAAATCAAAGAGACGAACCATGCTTAATTACCTAGTTAGCTAATTAATATTCTCTTCTGGAGATGGTCGGAGATTAGGGTTTTTGGATTACTTGATGGCCTAGTGTGTGGATGCCATATATATATATATCTATATATAACCTTAGAGTGACCATATCCGCCCGCCCGCCCGCATAACGTCACAAAAATATCAAAATTGCATCAATGAAGTTCCCGGTAATTTCATTTGCAAGGAACCAAAGTTTGAATTAGTAAACCAATCAATATTTGGTATATAGACTGTAGTATTATTTTGTTCATCCAGTGCATATATAACGACAACACTACAACAACCAGCGAAGTTGTTTTCTTCTGGCCTTCTTATTTGATTGGATATAAGAAGGATTAAGAAAGACTTCAGTTCTTTTTAACAAACAAGTCTTTGTAATATTATGTTCTGGATCGAATTCTAACTCACTATTTGGTAAATATCAAATATATTCATGTAGTATGAACTCGCCGAAAATGAGAACATATTCAAATGGATCGCAACTACTAGCCAATAGACTTCTTTCTTTTCCATCGGTCTATGCTCTCAGATCTCAATACTTTTTGGCTTGGTTTCGTTTTTTTCCTTTTCTTTTTAACAAACAATTCCTCGATTTGACGGGGAGACAAGAATAAGTTGGAAAGAACAATCATGACATGAATTTTTCTTGACAACTGACATACCTGAGCATTCTGGTTGAAGATGGTTTTGCTATTGAATCTATGTACTATGCCCTATAGGATTGCAATGTAAAAAAAATATATATATATATATATACGTGTATCTATTGTCAATTCCATGAATTAAACCAAACAAGCTATCAATGTACTATATGACTCTAGTTTCTCAAATGAGACAATTCATCAGTCATCACAAGTTTTCTTGCACACAATCCAATTTATGTGTCTCATGCTCCTCTTGCATGGGTCTTATGGAGGAAGATGCAACCAAGGTTCGCAGCTTCAGGCCTCGTGTACTAATAGAGAGTTCGTTTGGTCATACCTCATGGTGACGTTGATTTAGAGGGAGAGGAGTTTTTCTCGACTTTCGAACCTTCGATGAACAGAGGGTTAGAGTTAAGAGTAGTAACCAGCTACTTCTTTCCTCTCTTCTTTCTCGAAGGAAATGTCCTTTGATAAGATGAATCAGAAGTATACCACTCAAAAATTGGTCAAGTTTTGGAACCAGAACGACCCCTTCAAAAATTGGCGCCACCTATGGTCGCTATTTGTTGAATCACTATACCTAGTCCTTGGACTCCAACCCCCGAACATAAACACACACAAAAATTTACCCGAGCCAAATTTAACTGGTTGAACCCGATTTTGATATTTTCCGAAAACTCCAAAACTTGTGTGTATTCAAGCCGTTTAGATGGCCGGTTACTGTTGGACCCGGTTGAATCGATGGCAGGATAAGGGTTTAACAATCTTGCTCTACACAATATATTTTTGTTTTCATTCAAATGGATGTCATTCCGATAAATCATGATTAATATTTTTTTCATTGAAATATATAGTCCTCTTTTCCTTCGTTTTCTTTTTTTCGTTTTCTTGATGAATATGCATATAATTAATTATAAGGAAATCGAGTCTTTGTTTATCAGGTGAATGGCCGATGGAAAATTAAAAGGAAGCTTCATGGAGAGGATGATCGAGTATATATATATATATGATGACTTGATATATACACATGATTTGGTCCATCATTTCTCTACCGTTTGAGTCTCATCTCATCTCTCGGGTTTTAGTCTGGTTTCATGTTAGGTTATTCTTGTTTGTGATATTTCAGTTCCTAGTACGTGAAGGAAGGTTTGGGCGAATGTCCTTCTTAATAAAAAAAATTCAACATCCGAAATTTCAATTTCGAAAGAATATACATAGAATTCATACTTACGTCTAGTTCAGGGTCGATTGGACGAAGTTGGAACGATTGACGAAAAGCTGGGGAAACCACACGACCATACCTAAATACCACACGACCGTGTGATGTGGCCGTGTGGAACCCCTTTGCGCGGGCAAACCACACTGGCCGTGTAAAGGGTCCTTTGTGGCCGTGTGGAATTCCCAGAGAGCTTAGACGGGCAGACCATGATTTCACACGGCCGTGCGGTTCTGGCCGTGTACCATGCATGAAGGCATTTAAGTAAAACGCGACGTTTTATACTTTCATACGGGCAGCTGGCAATTCTACACGGTCGTGTGGTCTGGTCATGTAGTCGCAGAATTCTGGGTTTTAACCCAATTTCGGGTATTTTGAAGGGGGGATTGATTTTCAGAGCTAGAAACAGAGTATTGGGGAGATAAAGTGCGAAGAACACACCCTAGAGGTGGTTTTGGAGCTGAGTTTCATCAATCAAACTTGGATTTCATCCTTGGGGTGAAGATTATCATCCCATAGCAAATTCTTCCCATCTTGATGATTATGACTGCTTTGTATTCTGTTTTTCTCTCTCTCTCTTTGGAGTAGAATCCTCTCTCACTTGGATATGAAGAACCCTAATTCCATGTGTTAGAGATATCGATTGTAATGAGGTTTGGATTGTGATACTGTTGGATTGTAATGAGTCAATTGAATCATGATTCTCTTGTATTGATTTCTGCTGCAACCTGAGATAGATAGAATCTGATTAGGTTATCGTGGAAACGTGAAAGTTTGTTATTCTAACTTTTTCTCTACTGCATTCTCTCTTTTCCACCTTTGTGCCTTCACGGGTTGTGTTTGCATTCTGTGTGCAGGGGTAGTGCATGACCCGTAGCCAGTCAGGCGACTTACTGCCGTTAGACCAAGAGTTTGAACGGACTTGTAGGAACTTCAAGCGAACTTTAAAGGCACGACTGGCTGCGGAGGAGGCTCTAGCACAGCTGCAGATCATCCAGGAGGGAGACATGGGTGAGCCTCAAAACAACGATGTGGTTGTCCCGGATGAGCACACCATGAGATATTACTGGAACGCCAGAGCCGCGGACATGAGGTCGCCCATCCAGCACCCTCAAGTTAATTGGGTAATTGGTTTCATTGGTTAGCAGCGTTGAAACTAAACCAAACCACCTAAACTAAATAAGCTAAATTGTTTAACCAAACCAAACCAATTCTCCAAATTAACAAAACCAAATTAACTGAATGCTACTGGTTAATATGGTTACCACGGTAACCAATCCGTTTGTACGCCCCTACTTGCATGGGTCTTATTGACAAAGCTACAACCATGTTCGCAGTTTGATGCCTGGTATACTCATAGAGAATTCGTTTGGTCATACCTCATGGTGACGGGGATTTAGAGGGAGAGGAGTTTATCTCGACTTTCGAACTTTCGATGAACAGAGGATTAGAGTTAAGAGCAGCAAGCAGCTGCTTCTTTCCTCTCTTCTTTCTAGGAGGAGATGTCCTTTGATCAGTTGAATCAAAAGTATACCACTCATATACTCAATACCTTGAGCAAACCTTTTTCTTTTTAAACTTTTTGACTTTCTCCTCGGTTAGTGAAAGGTTCATGCACAACAAAGTGGTCGAGTTTTGGAAGCAGAACGACCCCCTCAAGAATTGGCGCCCCCTATAACAGAAATTTGAAGGATTTCTATCGCTATGGTCCCTATTTGTTGAATCACTATACATAGTTCTTGGACTCCAGCCACGAATAGTAACACACACAAATATTTACCCGAGCCAAATTTAACTGTTGAATCGATGGCCGGATAAGGGTTTGACAATCTTGCTCTACACAGTATACTTTTTTCCCCTTCAAAGTGGATGTCATTTTTGGTAAACATGATTAATATATATTTTTTTCCCTTCTAATTTAAAATGAAAAATATACAGTCCTTTAAATTTTAATGTTGAACAAATTGATTATTGGCCAGATCGAGCACAAAGGTCATTTGAAATCTTTTTAACAGCTATTAGTTTGAATATTTTGACTAATACAGGAAATGGAGCCTCTTTTCGTTTCGTTTTGCTTGATGAATATGCATATAATTAATTGTAAGGGGAATGGAGTCTTTGTTTATCAGGTCAATGGCCGATCGGAAATTAAAAGGAAGCTTCAAAGATAGGATCATCGAGTATATATAAACGGCAGGGATGATGGGTCGAAATCCATTCTATTCTCTATCCATTCCAAGCTCGTACGATTCTCCGACGATGTCCATGGACAGTAGTAGAAGAATCCTGATGGCTTCGTCGGCCGACGATGTGTTTACAGCGATTTGCGGTGGCACAACTGTGTACCCGGCGGCCATGCCTAACCAGTACGCAGCTATCCGAGTCACCAACCGAGACGGTATTACACCCGGTTCGATTCGGGAGATCACTTATGGACATGGTAAGTACTTATTAATCATTTCTAATTATTATATTTTTGCTTTTAACATGCAATTAATTATTATCTATATATATATGATGCAGCCATCTCAGGTTTGGTTTCAAGGGCGACCGAGGAAATCACCCGGATTGACCACACGAGTCGAACCATTGAATCTAGGTTCAAGCCCGATGGTGCTTTCGTGGGCAGGTTCTTTCGTTCGGCCTCCTTGGTCGTAAAGGTCGAACCGCTGTCGATGAACGATGGTCCCAACCGTCCAGGTTCGACCGTCGTATGGACCTTGACCTACGCTTCCGATTTCAATGGCGGTCTCAACCTGAACATGTTCCAAGATGCTATAGCAGAGGGATTCAGGACTTTAGATGTTTATCTCAGGAGCCCATAAGATCGTTAATTGATCACCAACTTCGTACCACAGGGACGTGCTTAATTAATTTGGATTTCGATAAACTATTTTACTAATTTGACGCAGTGCGCTTGATAATAACTATGCGATTTGTACTGAGCGGTGAACTCTTCTTCCTCCTCTCTGGATCGTTCTTTATCTTTTCCTTTTCTTCTTTCTTTTTTGTGTCCTTGTCCTTCTGTATGCGCATATGCGTCTGTTCCTAATTAGTATATATATGGTGATTTATATTTCAATTAGAGTAAATCAAAGGTACAGATTACTGTTATCTTTCTTAAGACTTTTGAATCTAGATAAATGAGCATTAGCAGAAGCAAACCCAAATGAAATCAGAAAAAAAAAATAGAGAAGAAAATTAACAAAGACAAGACACCAAATTTACGTGGAAAACCCTCCAAAGTGGTGGGAGAAAAACCACAGGTTGGAGAAGCTAGTTGTCAGAAACACATTTATTTGAGGTTCATTTTTCATTTATTCGGATATTTTATGTTAGGTCGGGAATTATTGAGGGGTTATTCTGTTAGGTTAATTATTTGGGTAGTAGAAGGAAATTAGTCGGATTATAAATATTGTGTTATGAGAAGGTTGGAGGTAAGCAATAATACGAAAATTATTCCTAAACCTAGCTCTCTCTCTCTCAACCCTAGCCGAGTCTTTCCCTTACCCTCTCTTGTCGTCGGCGCCTCCTTCCCCGGAGAACCGACTTATGCTTCTCTCTCACTCAATTCCCAATTCTTTCTCACCTAAATTCACAATCCCTAATACGCTCGTAGCCCCCAAATCACACACCTAGATCCGTAGTTCTGCCAGTGGTATCAGAGCCTGGCTGGTGTGCTGATTTATTGAAGAAGTACCAGGACCTGTAAGATGACGAACCCTGTGGACAAGCCGCAATAGCAAAAACAGAGCAAGGAGGTCGTCACCGTGAAAGACATAACAACAAACAAGTACGATGTGATCATCACGACGCGGGAAAGCCTAACGGAGTCCTCGGAAAAGGCAGCCGCAGCCTCGCGTGGCTCGATCGACGCCATCGAAGTGCTGGGCGGGCAGATCGCGGTCTCGTTGAGTATATGGGCAAGACAGTGACTGAGAATCTGTGTCGAGCCCTCTCAGAAACTATGAGGGAGGTGATGAGACTGATTCTCATTGGGATTAAGATAGAAAGGGTTGTCAAACTGGATCTCACCTCTGCCACTATGCATCTGATTCTCAGTGTAGCTACCGAATTGGAAAGCTCCGCCAGAAGAAGTACCACTACTGGTAAAGGAGTAGTAGGAGAGCCAGTAGCCATGATCGCCGAAAACAAATCTGAGGCTCTGATACCATGTAGAAATATCTAGAGAGGCAAAGGTTTAATCGAAAACCCACAAAAACAACGCGCTGCAAGGTTCTTCTTATTTATACTCAGTGTCAAGTTTTACTGTGTCCAACAATAAAATAAACAGAAATATATACACGTAGTGAGTAATAAAACGCAAAGGATAAAACTAACTCTGCTAACTCTAATACGACGACGCGTTCAGGCGAAGGCTCGAAACGTTTCCCATACAACGAATCGTCATCAAGCCTGAGACACGTTTCACTGTCTTCTTCAAGCTGAAGGTCGATGTGCCCATTCCAACTCTACATCAACTGCTTCAGCTTCATGGTCCTCTGCTCCATCTTCTTTATCTTCTTGACACGTCGTACGACTCCCAAGCCACGAACTCGAACCGGTGCATGTCGTCGCCGTCGTCGTTGGAGTAGGCGCAAGCGACCCCATTGATGTCGTCATTGTAGCCCTGGTTGAAGAATGTCCGCACGTGGCAGTTGGTCTAGCGTGCAGGAACACGACCGTGTTGGGCTCACCCTGCGGGAAGATGGGCCGGAAGATGGAGGAGGTGGACCGGGCCATTTTCTCGTCCGGGCCCGTTGGCTGTGGCAGACATCCAGGACACGCCGTACTTGTTCTCCAAGCTACACGAAATTGTTGTTGTGGATGGCAGCATCGGAGGTGGATCACTTGGGTCGGGCCGGATCCGGACGGGACGGCCTCCAGCTTCACGAACGGGCTGAGCGGGATCTAGGTGTCGTTTGCAGCCCAGCCCGTTAACATACGGCCCGAAGGAGTCTTCGTTCCAGTTGGTAGTGCACAGGTATTTCCCGTCGGACTTGGATTTCAGTACCATGAATTTCGGCAATCCAACAACCGTCGACATCTCTCTCTCAGTCTCCAATGGATGGATTGCTTTTTCTTTCTTACAACTTCTCGAGAGGAGACTTTTTCTGTGTCGTGGACGGCTTGAGTTCAAGTCCTTAAGCCTCATTTCTTATGGCGAATCTTAAAACCTTCTTATTGGAAGATAGTGGATTAGGTAGTTAATGGGGGTTAGTAGTGAATAAGTAGTTAAGGGTAAATAGGGTTATGCAATAAGGTCACTCGTAATTAGACTACATGAAAGAATCATTAAAAAAAGACGAAATGCTCTGTGCTAATAGCGCTGCGACGACGACCGTGATATCAACGACGACGCCGACGGGTCGACCCCCGAACGAACCTCAGCCGTCTGCCTCTGCTCTGCCTAAAACAGGGGGTTCCGTCCCCCCGGACACACTTACAGAGATGGCGGTGGATAATGGTCAGGAGGACGAAATCCCCTCCGGGGCAGGTTTTCCTTCGCCATCTAAGCCGACGCCAACTCCCGGAGTGAAACCTCTGGGGTCTTATGCGAAGGCCGTGACAGGGGAAAGGCTCGTTCCAAGGCCCCTGCCAACACAGTGGATTCCGGTAGGGGAAAAAGATTTGATTCCAGGCTCTTTCAACGAAGAACCAGAGCTTCAGTTATCGAAAAATTTCAAGAATAAGCTCAGCGCGTCATGGCAACGGACCCTGGTGGTACGCCTGCTTGGCTGATCAATTGGATATGCTGCTCTTTGCAACAGGATTCGTTCTCTCTAGCGTCCAACGGCGGGATTTGAAGTCTTCGCTCTTGATCAGGATTGTTTCCTGGTGAAGCTGGAGAATGACTTGGACTATTTTAAAGCTCTCACAGATGGTCCATGGGTAATCTATGATCATTATCTGGTTGTGCAACAGTGGACTCCTTCCTTTCGTGTAACAGACAAACTCCCAAGCGCCATGGTTGTTTGGGTCCAGTTCCCGGGTTTCCCCGTTCATTTCTACCACAAGGAACTTTTGTTTACGCTGGGGAACATGATTGGCAGGGCAATCAAGCTTGACTTCAACACGGCTAATCAGCAAAGAGCGAAATTTGCTCGAATGGCAGCGGAGGTAGACCTGTCTAAACCTCTAGTCCCCCGAATTTGGCTGGATGGCAAGTGGCAAAAAGTTGAGTTGGAGAACCTCCCCATCGTTTGCTTTGAATGTGGCAAAATTGGGCATACAAAGATAAACTGCCCGACTCTCTCACAAGCTCTTACCATTGCTACTCAGTCCGGTACGCCTTCACCGCCGTCAGTCGCTGCGGCCGTGGTTTCATCGGAAGATCCAGCCGGCTTCGGACCTTGGATGCTGGTGTCAAGGATATCCCGCCGAAATTCTCGTGATCCCCCTAAACAAGGTAAGTCGGAGCGAATATTGGTAAGTCATAACGGGAAAAAAAGGGGGAATTCAGGAAAAAATGAAGCGGTGGCTAAGGTGTAAAAGGTGGGAGCGGCGCCTCAGCTATCTGGGAGGAGTCAGGGGAAAGTTCTAAATGATCATAATTCTAACCTAGGGAAGCAAAAGGGGAAATCTGCTGGGGACAAGGGCAAAGAACGGAAAGGGAAGGAGATCGTGGACATGGAGGTGAATGGGATTTTGGGGCCTGCTCGAAAGCCCCTTGTGATTGGGCAGCCCAAGCCCACCATCAATAGCAATAACAAGGAGGCCTCGTCCTTTAAACAGATCCCGAGCCCAGCTGAAGAAGCCCGACCCAACGAGAAGAATCAGAGGCAGGAACTGAACGTCTCCAGTAAAGGGAACGGGGTCAACATTCAAATTGTGGAGGCCAAACCTTATGAGCTGCCTCCACCCCGCACCATCGATCACTCTGTCCCATCGGCGGTTTCAAGAAATAAACAAAAGAAGGAACAAAAGAAAAGCCAGAGGAGCAAGAATTCGACGCCTATGAAGCTGACTCCTCTCTGCCACAATCTGATGAAGGCTCTTCAATATTGGTCACCGGTTAAAGACAAGAAGAACAAGAGTAAAGAGCGGCGAGTAGCCTTAACCTTGCAGCAGATCAGCGAATGGCCAGGGAAGACTCAATCGGAAGAGGGGAAGAAGGAGGATGCGGCGGCAGGGGGATTTGCGATGGATTCGGCGGCGGTCAACATTGAGGAGGGGGACCTGCCGAGTGTTGTTTCCCGGTGACTTTGTCCCTTTCTTACTACTGTTCTGCTTTTGTCTTTCCGTTTCTTTTCTTCCTCTTTGTTATTTCTTTTTAATGGTTGGTTTTAATTGGTATAACTTCAAAATTTTTTCGTGGAATGTCGGGGGTGCCGGAGGAAGCTCCTTCTCGCGTTCCCTGCAGCTTGCGCTGCAGTTGCACAGGCCGGATTTTGTTATTCTCCTCGAACCCCAAGTTAGTGGAGAAGTGGCGAACAGGGTTTGTGAGAAGCTGGGGTTCCCGGATGTCCTGCGAATTGAAGCTCAGGGATGGAGTGGTGGGATTTGGCTGTTTTGGAATTCTCAGAATTTTTGTGTGCAGGTTGTATCGGCAGGGTCGCAGCATCTTTCTGTGAGAGTGTCTAAGGGAAACCAGGCTCCGTGGATGCTCACAGCAGTGTATGCGTCCCCCCGCCAGCATCTTCAATGTCTTCTCTGGAATGCTATCATCGAGCAAAGCAAGTAAGTGGACTGCCCATGGATTCTCACCGGCGATTTCAACACAATTCTGCATCCGGACGAGAAAACAGGGCCTCCCTCACCAGCAACTTTTCGTAGATGTAAGTGTTTTGGGGAGTTTCTGAATGAAGCAGAGTTGGTGGATCTCGGTTTCTCTGGCCCTCGGTTTACGTGGTCCATGGGAAAGGAGAGTGACACATATAAAGCTAGCAGAATCGACAGAAGCATTTGCAACCTGGATTGGAATGAGGGATTTCCAAATACGTCGGTGACCCACTTGGCGCGCCTGAGCTCCGATCACCATGAGGATTTCCAAATACGTCGGTGACCCCTAACCCTTCCACGAGACGTTTCAAATTTGAAGCAGCCTGGTTCACTCATGAGGATTTTCCCTCTTTTCTTGCTGATTATTGGGACTCACTTAATGTTCTGCCTATGGCGTTGCAGGATCTCTCCAAAAAGCTCCAGCTTTGGAATACTTCGACCTTTGGAAATGTGTACCATAGGAAGAAGAGGCTGGTTGCTAGGATTGAAGGGATAGAGCGACGTCTGGCAAACTCTTTCTCCCCAAGTCTCCTCAAGCTGCACACAAAACTGGAGAAGGAGTTAGATAAGACAATGGAGCAGGAGGAGCTTATTTGGTTCCAGAGGGCGAGGGAGCATTGGGTGAAGTTCGGAGAACGGAACACAGCCTATTTCCACCAGCTTGCCAACATTAGACGACGAAGGAATAAGATTGACTGTCTTGAGAATACTAGTGGGGAATGGATCAGCGAGAAGGATGAGTTGTTACAACTTGTTTTTAACTTTTTCTCCGAGCTTTATTTGCAGGATAACTCACCTTATGTTGACCTCCTCCCAAAAGGAGACTTCTCGCGACTGAACCAAGAAGACTGGCTCCATGTTCTCCGGCCTTTCAGCATCCTCGACATCCACAAAGCAGTCTTTGAGATGAAACCGTACCAAGCTTTGTTCTACCAGAAAGCTTGGGCGGTGGTGGGGAAAGCGCTCAATGATATGGCTCTGTTATTTTTTGAACAGGGAACGCTACCTGAAGCGGTCACGGAGTCCACGGTAGTCCTCATCCCAAAAGTGGACAAGCCTGAGTCGGTTACCCAACTTCGCCCGATCTCCCTCAACAACGTCTGCCTCAAAGCAATCACTAAAGCCCTGACCTGTCGGTTGAAGGAGGTTATGAGGAAGCTGGTCTCTCCAAGGCATAGCAGCTTCATCCCAGGACGTCAAATGACCGACAACATCCTTATTGTTCAGGAAGTGCTGCACTCTTTGCGGAAAAAGCGGGGGAAGAAGGGAGGAATGGTGTTGAAGGTGGATCTCGAAAAGGCTTATGACAGGCTTCGTTGGGACTTTTTGAGGGACACCTTGATTGAAGTAGGGCTTGCGAGTTCGTGGATCCGGGGGATCATGTACTGTGTGGAGCACAACAAGATGCGAATCTTGTGGAATGGGGAGTTCACGCCTATCATCACTCCCACTCGGGGCGTTCGCCAGGGAGACCCTCTTTCTCCCTATCTTTTTGTGCTTTGTATGGAACGGTTATCTCATAAAATTGATCAGGCCGTCCGGGATAAGCAGTGGAAGCCCATTCCCTTGTCTCCGAGGGGTCCTGCCTTATCTCACTTATTTTTTGCGGATGATTTGATGCTTTTTGCAGAGGCAGAAGGGAGCCAGATAAGAGTCATAAAAAATGCCTGGATGAGTTTTGTGCCAGTTTAGGACAAAGGGTGAGCTATGACAAGTCAGTCTTGTCTGTCTCACCGAACATCAGACAAGACAGAGCCCGTCAGCTTAGTGACAAGGCTGCCATCCCGCTGGTAACTAATCTTGGCCGGTATCTGGGCATTGAGGCTATCCATGGGCGGGTTACTAGGAGCCGATACCACTCATTGATTCTGAGGATCCAAAAGAAGCTAGCTCCTTGGAAAGCAAGGAGGCTCTCACTCGCCGCAAGACTAACGGTTACTCTTTCTGTCTCCCTTGCTATTCCCACCTACTCTATGCAATTTGAGTTAATCCCTAAGAATGTCTGCAATGCTATAGATAAGATTAACAGGGATTTTATGTGGGGAAAAGAGGAGGACAAGGGGAAGATGCATCTGGTGCCATGGGAGAAGATGACGGAACCTAGGCTTCAAGGGGGTGGAGGCCTCCGGCCTCTCAGGAAGGCTAACCTTGCTCTTCTGGCCAAAGGAGGGTGGCGTATCCTCAAAGAGAAGGAGTCTCTTTGGACTCAGATTTTTAGCGCTAAGTATGGGAAGCAGAGAGAGGGCCTTGACATGTTTCGTCCTATTCAAGGAAGTTCTTTTGCCTGGAGAAGCTTTACCAAAGCTTCCCACCTTCTCAGAAAGGGTTGCGCGTGGAATATTCAGAATGGTAGAAGCACTAATTTTTGGTGTGATGTGTGGGTTTTGCAGGTTCCTTTAAAGGATGTGGCTGTTCAGCCCATTCCGGAAGAGAAGCTGAGGGACACGGTTGCTAGCTATTTGGATGATAATGGAGATTGGGATGTGAGTCGGTTTTCGCAGTGGCTGTCTTTTGACGTTCAGCAGAAGATCACGGCAGTAGCAGTGGATGTTTTCTCTACGGACCGTGATACTCTCTTCTGGGCCCCTTCCCCGAATGGCCATTTTACTGCTAAGTCGGCTTTCCAGATCGCCATGCCCCAGCAAGGAAATCAGGACGAGAAGTTGTGGAAGCAGATCTGGAGCAACCCCGTGCCCGAGAGAGTTCGGTGCGTCATCTGGTTGGTTGCGCTGAACAGGATTTCCACTAACAGCCTGCTCTTTTACAGGAAGTGTGCTCCGTCGCCGATGTGTTCCCGGTGTAACAGTTGCCCGGAAACAACGCTCCACCTGTTGAGAGACTGTCCTCCGGCTGTTTATGTCTGGAACAGGAGAATTTCCCCCTCCGAGCAGCTTGGTTTTTTCTTAAGCGATCAGGAAGCTTGGCTGCGAGGGAATTTGCGTAATTATAAAGCTATGGCGAATGGAATGCCATGGAGTGCTTTTTTCAGTATAACCATTTGGCTTTTGTGGGAAAACAGGTGCACAACGGTGTTCCAAGGAGCGCAGAAGGCTCTGACTGCACCTTCTCTGTTGCACTCTATTCAGCTGAAGTCGGATTTGTGGTATAAGGCGTGGTGCGCTCCTCTGTTGGGAACTAGTAATCAGGAGCCAGGAAGGAACCGAGTGACGGCTAGCATCCAGTGGAACGCCCCGCAGCAGTGATGGGTTAAGCTAAACATAGATGGCGCATCGGCGGGTAATCCGGGACTTGCTGGTGCAGGCGGGCTGATTCGTGATGCTCAGGGACGGTGGGTAGCAGGTTTTGTGGCAAAGATTGGGGAAGCTTCTGTGGCTCTGGCAGAGCTTTGGGCCTTCTACCATGGCCTTACTCTTGCTTGGAAGTTTGGTGTTAACAATCTTGTGATCGAGACGGATTCTCAGCTGGCGATTCTCCTCATTAATAATTGCCATGATCAGGTACGCCCGTATGCTGCTCTTTTAGCGTCTATTCGGAGGAGACTTGCTCAGGATTGGTTGGTTAGTATAGTTCATACATACCGAGAAGGGAATAGAGCCGCAGACTAGCTCTCGAAGCACAGCCTCGTCTATCCCTACGGTATGCATTAGCTGACTAACCCTCCTAGAGAGTTAGCGCATATTTTACAGGATGATATTATGGGGGTGTCCTTTGACCGCCGTATTGTGGCGCCTTCCTCCTCCTAGCTCTTGTTTCTCCTCCCTACTTGTCTTTCTTGCTTCTTGGCTTTGGCCTCCCTTAATGCAAAAAAA